AAAAACATACGACTCACATAGAAAACCTGCAAAAGAAAAAGTTATAAATCTACAAGCTTCCTCCTCATCTGCTGAGAACCAAATCAGAAAAGCTAAAAAGAAACCAGAAATAAATAAAAAAATGTAAACAAACCAGACAAATCAAGAGAGACAAAATATGAAATCAAGGAGACAAAGAACATACCAGAAACGCAAAGAGGCTAATCCAGAATTCACTAGCAAGATATAGAAGGGTATTGAGAGATTAGGTGACTTTCAAATCAAACCTTTCGACCAGCTTTGATTCTCAAATACAGAACCTCCCTCTACATCTTATGGATCTGCGAAAATCTCTTAACTCTTTCATTGATATCGATTTTTTGATGATTTTGTAGAGAGTTTCATGAGGGTGTTTTAGAGAGTGCAGGAGGGTTTCAAGGAGGGAGAGATAAGGTTTTCAGAGACAGGGGGAAAATCTGAAAATTTGTCAAGCGCGAATTCACTTAAGTAGCCTTTCTTTAGCGTGTTTTAAAAGATGACGCTTGTTAATGAGAGATAAGGTTTTTAAAGACGGGTGAAAATTTGAAAATTTGTCGAGCAAAAAAAACCGTCGTCTTTACATATAATAGACGACGGTTTTTTTAAAAAAAAACCGTCATCTTTACATATAATAGACGACCCTTTTTTAAAAAAAAAACCGTCGTCTTTACATATAATAGACGACGGTTTTTTTATAAAAAGCGTCATCTTTACATATAATAGACGACCCTTTTTTACAAAAACCATCATCTTTACTTCACAATAGACGACCCTTTTTTTACAAAAAAGCGTCATCTTTACATATAATAGACGACCCTTTTTTAAAAAAAACCGTCATCTTTACTTCATAATAGACGACCATTTTTTAAAAAAACCCGTCATCTTTACATATAATAGACGACAGTTTTTTCAAAACAACCATGTCTTTACCAAAAAAAAGGACACTTGATTTTTAAAAGACGACGCTTGTCATATCTGCTGTCATCGTTTTTTGGTCATATTTTAACTCTGAAGAAAACCTTTTTAATAAGACAACGCTTTTTTATTTGTGTGCGTCGTTATAAAAAAAATATTCAATAGTACCTCCGTTTTTTAGTTGTTTAAGTCACTTATCCACGACGGTTTTTTTGTTACCGTCGTCTTTTTAAACACAACGACGGTTTTTTCTTCTACCGTCGTCTTTTTCTGGTCGTCTTTTTCACTTTTTGTAGTAGTGACTTACTCTGAATGTCACTGACTGGCGAAGGCAATAACCTACCGAAGGCACATACACATGCTGAAGGCACACGTCTTCACACATTATTCACCACTCCACATCTATCTAAGTTGACCCTCCCAAAAAGAGTGTAAACAATAGTTACATTATTCAGCATTATTAGAATTAAAAAACTTGAAATAACATTTATGAACTTCTATGTTAGCCACGCAGTGTTGAGATTATACAACCGATGATATTTTTCTGGCCATATATATAATTAAAATAGATTTTTTTATAATCATAATATAATTAAAATAGATTGATGCAAGTTTACATGTATGCATAAATATATCATAATTACGTAGACATATAAACGTATGTATTTTTACCTTGTAAAGCACAGCAAAACCTTGCACTATTTACCAAGAAACAAAGAAAGGCTACAGCTTTTTATTTGTAGATGTGGTTATGAGGAGGGTTTTTCACTTGTATGGAAGACAAAGAAAGTAATTACACAGAGGATGGGAGTGGACTTAAAGCAAGGTAAGTTTTGGGCAAGTCAACCATGAGTCAAAACGTGCACTCCAAATATTATTATGTATACTAGCCTCTCCGCAAGCGCTTCCGCGCCTTCGAGAGGCTTTTTTAAAAAAAGATTTAAATTTATTTCATAATTAAAAAAGATAATGAGTAGTTGTTTTCCGTAAATATAGGATCCATTATCTAAATTTTCTTTTAATTTTAATTTTCTTAATATGAAAAGTGTGAATTTACCATAATATTCTCATTTAATTAATAATTTCAATTCTTAATGTTTGCATTAACCAAGGGCATTTTTTGGTAGTTTGAATGTTTTACCATTCTGTGCCTTTTGCTTTATATATATATATTTCATGATGAGAGTCGTATAAAAACGGTGGGTCTATTTCAATTTTTGTAGTAGTGATACTAATTTTATTATTCTGGCTAATTAGCCTATTCGGAAAATCATAAACTATTCGGTATTGGAAATAAAAGATGAACATCATTAGATAGAGAAATGGGTGGGTTTTGGGTAAGTTAACATTCTATTATTAGAATGTGAATAATGTGAATAAACTTTGCCTTGTTTTTTTTATTTTTGGGAAATTGTTTTTGGGTAAGTTAATATTGTCTTACACTCGAATAGTAATGTGAATAAACTTTGCCTTTTTCTTTATCTCTGGGAAATTGTTTTTGAGTAAGTTAATTTTGTCTATTACTTAAATGTGAATAATGTGGATAAACTTTGCCTTTTAAAAAAAAAAAACTGTTTGGGGTAAGTTCAAATCTTTACTTTTTAATATTTTGCCCAGTTCTTTGTGGCATGTTTTTGTTAGGCATTTTAATCTTCTTAATAAAAATTAGTTTTGTTCAGTTATTTGTTCCTTTATGATTAGTTTATGATCCCGAAATTTCAAGGTCGGCCCTTTGAGTTGGGTGCTCATTTTGAAGAATTTGAAATTAATTCATCCAACATAAACCCTAATTGACAGGACTCGTCCTGAACTCCTCGGAACCTGGGATGAATCCTGTGGTATTTCCGACATCATACTGATGTCGGGCCTACTTACTAAAGAAATAAGATTTTCTATTGAAATTTCGGCAGAGTCTCTCCTGAAAAACGGACATTCCCAAAATTTTTAAACCTGTCAAATAAACATTTAATAACACCAACCGGCAGCATGCACAAGATAATATCATGTAGTTTACATCTATGGCCTTCGGCCTTACAATCAAACCCTAACATGGGCCACACCAGAGCAATCTAAGAGTTTCAGTTTACAAACGAGAACATAAAGTTCAACAAGAATAAAACAAGGAAAAGTCATCCTACAAGAGACTAAGCTCTGAAGTTAGGATCTCGACTCGGCCGCTCGATACGAGTCTATCTACTGTTAGGGGGCACAAAACAGAAAAGTGTGGGTGGACAAAAACAAAGTTTGGTTATATTTGAAAACAACACTAACCCCACCGTTTGGAAAATAATGCTAAAAATATGCAATTGATATTATCCCTACATAATCATTGTGAAATCAAAGTATTCTCACTTCCCCGATATCATATAGTAATAACCAAGTCATATCTTTGACTTCAACCTAACTCCTTCCCAAATCATAGGATTATGAAACGGAATATAATCGATAAAAATAATGCTATTTTAAAACCAAGCCCACTCACAAGTAGTCCCACGCTACTTGACCCTGAGAGGGTCCCGCCTGCTGAGTACGAGTAGCCGGAGTACCTATTTCAGGATACGAGAGCGAGATTAATATAAAATACTTCAATCGAGCACTTTAAAATAACTTCCTAATTTCCTGGGAATCAAGTGTGTGTGTGTGTGTGTGTATATCGAACGAGACATTCCTAAGGTCCAACTACGTGGTTTGAATGACGAAATAGTCTCAGAAGACGCTCGGTCAACCAAGTGGTCAAACTTCCCAAATTTGATCAACCGGGGCCACGACCTCTGATTTCTGATCCAAAAGTTCCTATAGGTTCAACAAGATTTATTAACCACGTTCTGTAAGTTTGGTTCAAATCGAATGGTCGGATCGCTCATGATCACACGATCAGACGGTTATCGATTTACGCAAACTTTAAGTCATTGAATCGGAGCATCCGGGGCTCTGATTCACGATCCGCGAATTCTTACACGATCCTAGAGATGCCTAGATCAACATATTTGAAATTGGAGTCGATCCAACGATCCGAACATATTGAACCATGTTAACGCCTAATATGCGTAATCCAATCGATAGTAAAATGATAACCAAATTCAAATCCGAGCACACCGTCGTGCTTGGGATGACATGGGGATCATTTTAGGACCAAATGGGTCACCCAAACAGTACCCGCGCACCTCTACACGCGCTGGCAGGGGGTGTGTGCCTAGAGAAATTCCGGTGATCGGAAAATCTCCAAACCGCCGATTAAGACTTATACCTACATGATCATGACAATGAGTGGAGCAACTTTTGTTCTTAGACCATGGCCAAAAAGTGAACGGAACTTGCCGAAAATCGGCCAAACTTTAAGTGATAATTTGAGTTTCAAAACGCAGAAATTGATCCTAAACAACCTAATCATTAGCTAGAACACATTGAGAGGATGAAAAAACATACCTAGATCGAAGAAATTAGCGGTCGGAATCGCTGGAACGAGTTCCGGGAAGTTTTGAGAAAAACCGGCCAAATGTTCACTTTTTCGGCGAAAGGAGCGGAGGATTGTGGCAGCTGAGGGGTGGGGTAGGAAGAGGGAGCAGAGCCGGTCACTTTGGTACGAGTCCCGTGGCCGGGGGTGGGCTGTGGCAGCGGCGGGAAGCCAAAACCCACCGGCTATTACTGTTTTGGGGGAGGGTGTGTCGTGCGAAGAATCGGGAGAGAGAGAGAAGAAATTTCAGATTTTTAAAAACCCTGTTCGAAATATTTACAATTTTGCCACTATGCTTCCTTTAATCGTAACTTTTCCGTTTCAACTTCGATTTGAGCCCACTATGTGTCTACGGACTCATCTTGACGTGATCTATGTCATGGTGCCATTCATTTCCCCAAAATTCTTCTGGATTAAAAAGTGACCAAAATAACCCTATCCCCGATGACAAAATTGTAAATTCATAATTTAAATAAATTAAATAATTTATCTAAGCAATAAAATTAGGGTCGGGGCATTACACTAATTAAGGCAGAATCACCATTTTTTAACTCTGAAAATATGGGGTTGTCGTCTTTTTTGTTGATCTCTGAATTGAAAATTAGAGCGGCTATATTCTCATCCTCCATATGACATGTATAAAAGTTCTTCACAGCATTAAAATGAGTATATAGGATGGCATTAGATGTAAATTACAATCCACTTGTTTCATTTACTAAAGAATACCACGTATGTAGAGGGCGGAAAAGATTCACATTTCTCTCCAAAATTTGTTTAAAGTAATGACCCAATAGATTTCTGGTCCTGCAAGATAGGGAAGCCTCACAACTGCAACAAATAAAAACATTCGCCACCTGAAAAAAAAAAAAAAAACGATTAATATTTGACAATGGCTAAAAAAACTAAATAAGCAGTACGACCCTATCAGTATATATTTCTTATCTAATGCTTGAAAACTTGTGTCATAATTGGAGTAAAAAAGATGGTGCCACCCGCTATACCTCTGCAACATGATGAACAAGCTGAAGACGAATTTGAACTTTTAGATTGACTTCTGTGTGAGTATTACACGTATATTCCCAACCCTAACTCTTTTGGATTTGTTTCCACCATCCATGATGGCCTGTTTGAGGACCAATAAAATATTAAGAAAGAAATGGAATAGTCAATACAAATAATCTATAAGAAAGAGAATAAGGGACCAGAAATTTTACTTGTTCATTACAAAATTGAATGTTCCTTGTGCAGCACGTTCGAGAAGGAGTTTTCTTGCCTCGATTGCAACGCCTTCAGTCTATACAGAGAGAATTTGATAAGAGGCTTATTGCATCAATGGGCAGCTTTTAGGTTTCTAAACTACGTACTCAGCCCTTGTACATACCTCCTCTGGAAACCAAACCCCAGGCTTTGTGCTTCCCTCAAGAATTGCCAGAACAAATGCAGCTGTTGCATTTCCAACTGATCTGCAACACAAATTCTATTTCAGTCACATCTCATTCAAATCCTCCAGTACGTACTTTCACATACATATGTCCACACCACAAATATCACATTCGATATCAACCTTGTAACATTTTACAGACATTTAAAAGAAAAGGGAATCAGGGTGTCCGTGATTGATTTTGGAAGGAAAAATAAACGAATAGGCCTCTGGATAACTTAAAACTTACACGGAGAGTCTCTTGTGACTGAATATGCCAACTGTATTGCGCCCGTCAGAGCACTCCAAATCAACCTGCCGCCCCACCAAAAAGAAAAAGAATGAAGTGAAGTGAATTGCGATGACAAAGACGTTGTGAATTATTATTCTTTCCCTCATGTACTAGTAAAAAAGTTTAACAAGAAGTTGAAATAACTGAAGACTTGATTCTGTGTTTATATCCTCTCACCCTCATTGATACACGCTCTCCAGCAATACCATCAACTCGTCGGACTACGGGGTCAAACAGGTCAACCATCTGTTGGACTTTGCTTCTGTCTCTCAACAGCTCCTGAAAAGTTTATACGGGCTAACAGTTAGTTACTCAAAATTAATGTGGGGTCATTTTGGTGAGAATTTGTTTCGTAATCCTCACTAATCCCTTTGAAATGCAGAATATTGGCAATAGTCAATCAAATCTCATCTCATTTCTTATAATAAGGGTGAAAATCTAAATGCTAAGGCTAGAATTACAATTCTAGATTATCAGAGGGGATGCATGAAATCCCAAATGTCATAGCGTACTGCTGGAAGAAGACTAGTCATGGCTGCCATTCCCCAATTCCAAAAGAAGGGTGAAGTTCCAAATCGAGCACTGACAGTAGGTACTCCTAGGACCTCATGAGTACTTCTTACCTCTGGCAAATTCCTGAAAATAAGATTAGGTTTAGTACAACCCTTGTATTATAGCAGTTTCATACTTTATTAACTGAGCGGATAGACAGAAACCAACTGGTTCATCTAAATGGAAATCATTAAGCTTCAAAAGAAGGAAAATAAGTCCCGATCAGACTTTTGGGAGTTGATTAAAGGATGCAAAAGCATCTCGAGGACAAACTACTATGCAATCTAAGAGTTATTCTGCAATCTATCAAGTACTGCATGGCCAGTAACCCCTCGTGGACATAATTGACAAACTCAACCTAGCTATGAGAAAACTTATGAGACCATTATGGTACATAAAACTTATATTTGTCTCCCCTTCTTGCAAGGACAAGAAAATAAAATTGAAACAAAACTTCAGGTGAAACTTCTTCGATCGTGTTAATTATCTTTAGTGCAATTCCAGTATAGGGCTGTAAAACATGGTGACTGAAATATTACAATGTCAACAAGAAAGAACATAACTAGAAAAAAAATTAGAAATTATACCAAAATATTTGATTGACAAGTTTCTAATGGGGTTGCCCTTTCAGAAAATGTTTATGGGGGGAATTGTATACAACTGCATGAGACTTGTTGGGAACTTGGCATCATCTACATAATGACCCAATTGGTGGTAGCCATAATGGTATTACAGGTTTGATTTGTATATAATTTATTGATCATATGACTTGGTGACTTCAAACTCATGCATAAAATTGTAGCTTACAGAACTTACAACAGATAAACATCTTTCTTTCCAATTCCTTTTCCAAAGTCAATCGTCAGCATTCCACTATATGGCTTTAGTTTGATCTTTTCTCCTGGTTGAGTAGCCCATTATTGGTGTTAGGCATGATATACGGAATTCAGGAGTCATCAAACACAATAGAAAAGGAGAAGAAGAAATTCTAGAACAGCGTTGAAACTAACCTTTATTAAATGCAACAACCTCCTCTCCGAGAAGCAAAAAACTAGTGGCTAAGATAGTTGGACCAGCCCCGCCAGTGCCCGCTGTGTAGTAGTAGAATCTGATGAGAAGATATTTGCAGATATTTGTTAGGCATAGAATTCATGAAGACCCCATAGAGAAAAAGCACAAACATGCCATGTTATATGCGACTATGCATAAGATTGAATACGTTATCTCAATCAAGAAGCATTTCGAAATATCCCAAACATCCAATTTCAAGTTTGCTCAAATTTGAATAACAATAAAAAGACATGGAATGCGACTGGGGAAGACATTGACCACAGAGCTTGGGAAATGGGGCCAAAAAACGGTTTATTTCGAATTAATATGAAAGATAATTTTAGTAGAAGATACCATTCAATGACAAAGAATCTCAACCAGAAGAAAGTCCAATTTGATGCCAACTGATTGGAGAAATACTGTAAATGTAAGTTTAAAACAATAAAAATTAAACAATTCTTGGACTTAAAAAAGGTAATGGGAATTGCTACCTTAGCCTTTCTGGTTTGCCTTTGCTTTCACTTCTTGCCGCACGAACTAGTTCTGCAGCCATCACTGTCATTATAACAGTAGGAGTCAGTATCTAGGAGACAAGGAATAGTAGATATGACCCCTTTTCACTTTCACACAAGAATACCATCTGACGACACATCTAATTTATGAGTATTTCTATGATCTTCCATTGGTGTGTTTACAAAAAATTTGGTATGTTAACTGTGGACAAGAGTCCTTGAGATAATCCAAACCTCACATAGACAAACTCAAAAGTTAGGTTATTACGTTAGGAGGTTTAGTTGTTAAATTATACATGTAAGGTACATCTCATCTGAATTCAAAAAACCCGCTACTTGGAGTATCTCAGCCCAGGCTTTTTAGGTCTATCTAGATCCCGAGAGTAACAAATCTTAGCTACGGACCCAAATAAAAAGGAGCTTGGTACTTGAGATTATTATTCACTTGCATTTTATTTCAAAGAAATTTATCTTTGAAATATTATCTGGGACAAACAACTCCTTTTGTTTCATTTTAAACACAGTTCAAATATATGCACAAGCAAGTGTACCAAACTTTGTGGACTACAGAACAAAATGTGCTGATGATACACCATTGCTCACTCCAGGATAAATTCCACCAGTTGTTATAGCCGGAACATTTGCAGCTAGTGCTCTACTGTTGAAAGATTTTGCACGCAGTGAGTAGGCTGTATCATCACAAACATCAACATAGGCTGTCTGTGGAGAGAAGAAACACATTACCAAAGTCATACATTTATAGTAAATTTAAGATCTATTTTCCAACATAAACACGCACACACACAAACGAAACAAACATATGTCACTTAAAATTAAAAACACACAAAAAATTTCTTTTCTTGCGGGGGGGAGACAATCTGTGGCCATAGTAACATTCCTCACCTTTGTCTGTAAGGCAGCTTCCAATACAGTACACTTCTCTGCTTGTTGGAATGGCCCTGCAGCATGAACTACGAGATCCACATCTGCAGAGAGAAGTCGCTTAAAAACAAATTTGATAATCACTGTTATGAAACTAAGACCACAAAATACTACATGGACATAAATTATGATCTCTATTATATGCAGTGTTCTCCCAAATGTGATATTGTAACAGAAATATATGAAATCCCAGACACAAGGGCATATTTGTTCAGTAAATATTGGTTAAGTGAAAAGCATAGAATAGAATATGGAAAACTCTAGAGATAAATGATGTTTCTCTTTGTCCCAACATTTCTTTTTCTTTTGGCCGCTTGTCCCAACATTCATGCTCAATGCTTTCATAGTTCTCAAACCAAAAAGCAGAACAACATAACAAAAAAAGTTACATAGGTCAAGCATAAATAGGCAAGAAATTACAATTTTTGCCCCTTTATTCTTTTTTCTTTAACCTAGGTGCAGAGATAGGTGCTTGTGATACATGGACTACAGAAGACTACCCAAAATTTTGCAAACGAAAATGGATTCAGTTATTCTTAAATTATAAAGAGCTAAATTTCATTGGTACTCTTGGTTCATACCAGGAGTACAAAGAAGACAATAAAATTCTAAAGAAATACTTAGAGTAACTCAAAATGAGAATGTATACACCTTTCTTATGGTTAATATTCCCTAAATAATGGGTAAAGAATCAGCCAAGTACAATACTGATACTTATTTGGTGAAACCATTCAATACCCCAGTATGGGAAGCCAACTGAAATTAAATCATGGTATCATGGAAAAAGAACTTAGAAGAATCATTCACCTTTCAGAGCTGCTTCCAATGATTTTACATTGTCAATATTTACTTCAGAGAACTCTGAGTTTCCCCCAAGTGTAGCCACCATATTAGCTCCTTTTTCCCTGTGATAGAATCATAATTCCAGAAATGTAGCATCTCAAATTGCCAGCATTCGTAATCAGATTTGACCAACGAGATGTGAAAAAGTAACACATTTTCAAGAGTGTATTTTACCAGAAGATTAATATTGTTTAACTTTATGTCATCTAGCAATTGATCACTGATATTTACTTCTTGTGGACCACTAGAATTTGACATGCTCTGGTTCTCGACACTTGACTAAAAGTTGTTAGTCCAATCTGGTCTAGATGAGACAATGTGGAACAGGCAAAAGAAGCCCTTTTATTCTTTGAGCAATTATTAATGTTGCGCAGTGGATTTTAGCGAGGTGTGATGGATGGCAGATAAAAATGGCCATTCTCAGAGATCTTTCTTGAAATATATGCAAGTTGTAGATACCTAAAAGTCAAAACTCTTTCTTTTAATTACCAAAAAATAAAAATAAAAACTCTTTCTTCTGCACATTGGTTCAAAGAGGGAGGGATGTAGTTGATTTTTTTTGTTGGTCTGACTTCTCTTTACTAACAAGAATATATAAGTTGGGCAAGGAAGAAGCTTAGAAAGATGAATTGCGTCTGGTGATTCATAGTGAATATTTAACAACAGAACCAGATAAAATTCCGAAGTATTATAATAATAAGAAAACAATTGATTTGTCCTCTATATGCCATTGTATTTCTAGTTTTACTTCTAGTTATATCAAAACTCATAAATTGTTACAACTAAATAACTGAATCCTGTCATCATTGCCATTACATTGATTTCAACAATTCTAAATTTCACCTATTTTTACCAGCCAATAGATAACATCTTCTCAGGGAGATAAAAATACCAAGAAATTACAGGGCCAGTACCATTACCTCAAATTTATAAAGAAAATTACCTCATACCCAACTGAATAAGTCATAAAACTAAACACACACACACATATATATATATTTTTTTGGGTCTGTGTTGTGGTGCAACTTAGAAAATTCTAAAGCTAATATTTGTTTGCTTGATGAGAAAATGAGGGAAAAGAAGTTACAAGTTCCCATCAACACGTTTTATTACAAATTTCTATCTGGTATTGGAAAAAAAATCAAGTGGTTCTGCTAAAGATACTAATTTTAAACCATTATGTTTTTTCAAACAATTATCATTTTATTTTCTCCATCATGTTTTCTCGAAAACCAAACAAATATGAGACTGTAAGAGAGAGAACTGGGTTCTTTGTTGGGCATAATGGTAAATTTGATTACCTGTTTCGACCGCCAACGAGAATTTGGAGGTCGGGGCAGAGCTTGGAGAGGGCAATGGCAGTGGACCCTCCGACCCGACCCGTTCCGCCCAGAACCAGCACCCGCGAGTTTCGGGTCTTCTCAGGGAGCTGAACCCTGCTCCCAATTTGGGCCTCTGCAGAACTACTACTAGGAGAAGAAGTGACCGCAGCAGTGACATTACAAAGGCTCACTCTGCTCTTCAAATGCATATACACTGAAGAAGCTCCCGCCATTGTTCTCTCTGTACTCTATCACAACTCTCAAAACCCCCCTCACTCTGGCCTATCCTATCAGTTTTTATCGTTGGTGATGACGTGGCACTTTGTGTGCCTAATAATCTTAATTTGGTTTTTTTCATTGATATTAAAGTAGTTCTCTCCATTTTATTACTCATGTGAATGCGAATTATATATATATATATATACAGAAATTCTCTTATGCAGACATCCGAACGTTATTATCGTGCGGACGCTATGTATTTTGGTTACATTGGGAGGAAAGAAACTCTTTGGAGTTTCGAACTTGGGTGTCAAGCAGGGGGAGGCCACCACTGTGGTACATGCTCTTGACAATTTCATATATTTTTTGTGCACTATTGTAGCAGTGTGATTTTGTTGTATGTGGATTATCTCGTTATAAATCCTCGGTCATAAACATGAGTTTTTATAAAAAAAAAATAGCCAAAATTTACTCCCTAAATTCATAAATGTCCATTTTTATAAAAACTTTCAAATATAGCAAAAACCTTACTTAAATAGACTAAAATGCCCTCAAAATTAAAATCCTCATAAACCTAAAAGTCAAAACTCTTTCTTTTAATTACCAAAAAATAAAAATAAAAACTCTTTCTTCTGCACATTGGTTCAAAGAGGGAGGGATGTAGTTGATTTTTTTTGTTGGTCTGACTTCTCTTTACTAACAAGAATATATAAGTTGGGCAAGGAAGAAGCTTAGAAAGATGAATTGCGTCTGGTGATTCATAGTGAATATTTAACAACAGAACCAGATAAAATTCCGAAGTATTATAATAATAAGAAAACAATTGACCAAATTAATTAGCTCTAGTATTCTGTATATGAAGGAAAATTTTGAGTAGCAGAAGTGTGGCAGGCTTATGTTTTTTTTTTGGCGGGCAAAGTGTGGTAAGCTATATGAGAAAGTTTAAAGCTTATGTTTGATTTGCTTGCCTATATGTTGGTTACTGCAAAAATAGTCTGCAGTTGTTAGTAATATTATCATGTATATTTCAATTCCTAGTTCCAATCATGTTAAAGAACACAAAGAAGGAAAGGGAAGAACTGGTTTTGTTTTTAGGTTTTTATTTGGGTTTTAAATTTAAGGGCATTTAAGTTTTTTTTTTTTTGAAAGTTTTATAAAAGTTGACATTTATAAATTTGGGCTATTTATGATAAAAACTCGGTAAACATCTTTATGTTGCAAATGTAGGTTATGCCAGCTAGCCAAGACAGTAAACCCACCCATTTTTATCAAAGTTTAAAACCCCACACCCCTCACCCCCCCCCCGGTACATTAGATTAATTTAGATTATCTCTTGTATCAAAAAACAAATTTAAAACATCTTTTTTGTTTTTTCGAAAAAAATATATATATTTGTGTCTATGTATTGAAGGGAAATGGGTGCTTACTTATGTTGGCCTCCTTGTAGTAGAGTGATTTTGTTATTAGTTGATGAGAGATTCTCCAATAAGTATTTTATATTAAGGATTGGTTACTTACTTATAATCTTGGCCATTGAATTGCATTCATTAAATGTGTTGATAGTGTTTTAGATACAATCCAATAGACGAGATTAAAAGTATGTAACCAAGCACGAACCCAGCCTTGTCGAAGTAAGGCTGGAGCCCAACCCAAAATTTTGAGAAAATTTCACTACCCAGCTGTCCAAAAAAATATACAGCCCAGCCAATACTTATATAGGCAAGCCCAATCATAAAATGCTTGGAAAACTTTCGATACTCATATAGGCTAGCCCAAATCTCTACCCAATCAACTATGTCTCCAACAAAATGTTTTTAAAATTCAAAAATCTGGAACCAGCTGGTGCGAGCCTACCCCGAATTCTTCTTTTTTCGTTTAATTTTCTTTTTCTTTCTCTTCTCAACCTCCTCCTTGACTCCTTTTTTCTTCTTATAATTTAATAAATGTCCATTTTTATAAAAACTTTCAAATATAGCAAAAACCTTACTTAAATAGACTAAAATGCCCTCAAAATTAAATTCCTCATAAACCTAAAAGTCAAAACTCTTTCTTTTAATTACCAAAAAATAAAAATAAAAACTCTTTCTTCTGCGCATTGGTTCAAAGAGGGAGGGATGTAGTTGAATTGTAGCAGTGTGATTTTGTTGTATGTGGATTATCTCGTTATAAATCCTCGGTCATAAACATGAGTTTTTATAAAAAAAAAATAGCCAAAATTTACTCCCTAAATTCATAAATGTCCATTTTTATAAAAACTTTCAAATATAGCAAAAACCTTACTTAAATAGACTAAAATGCCCTCAAAATTAAAATCCTCCCTCCTTGTAGTAGCGTGACTTTGTTATTAGTTGATGGGAGATTCTCCGATACGTATTTTATATTAAGAATTTGTTACTTACTTATAATCTTGGCCATTGAATTGCATTCATTAAATGTGTTAATAGTTTTTTAGATACAATCCAATAAACGAGATTAAAAGTATGTAACCAGGCACGGACCCAGCCCTGTCGAAGACTATTAGTGTCACAAAAAAACCTCAAGGACCATTCGTGATAATTTCGTAAACATCAAGGACCATTTGTGATAAAAAGCCTAATATATTATATACAATTTATGAATTATCATCAAAACTATCGAAATTTTAATTTTTCGAAAAAATTAACCTTAGTCATTTTTGAATCACGAGTCTGTGCCTGTATGTAATCAATTCTTAACTTAAATACTTATTAAAGAATGTCCCGTCAATTAATTATTCAATTGTACGTATTGCTAGGTAAACATCATAATCCTATTGTTTACCATTTTGGACAGAACGGATCGAAAACAGGCCTTCTTTAAAAAAGACTCCAGTACCCAGCTGTCCAAAAAAATATATTGTCCAGCCAATACTTATATAGGCAAGCCCAATCATAAAATGCTTGGAAAACTATTTATACTCATATAAGCCAGCCCAAATCTCTACCCAATCAACTATGTCTCCAACAAAATTTTTTTAAAATTCAAAAATCTGGAACCAGCTGGTGCGAGCCTACCCTGAATTCTTCTTTTTTCGTTTAATTTTCTTTTTCTTTCTCTTCTCAACCTCCTCCTTGACTCCTTTTTTCTTCTTATAATTTGCATTGGGGGGTCCACACCCCTTTTGATGGTGAGATGGGCCTCCTCACATAACCTCCTCAAATTAGCTCCTCATTATAGAAGCACCCCCTCATAACTTGAAAAGACTCCAGCTAGGCATTCTTTAAAAAGCCCAAATAGACAAAGATAGACAAAGACTCGTCGAGCCAAATCAACACTATCCGAGCTCAACTAGAAAGAAGCATTTTATAGAAGAGAAAAGATAAGTTTTTCTCTTCTTTTCAACGAAATATCACTCATTTGACCAAATAAAAATAAAAAAGATCTTTCATTGGACAGTTTTTCTTTTCCGAATTTGGTGAGGTGAAATTGATGCTTTGGGTTTGTTTATTACAACACTGTTTTGGCCATTAATTAAAATATAATTAAAAGTCTTTACTACTAAATTCATTAAAATAATAGCAATCTCAGGTAATTCGACCCATTACATGAATCATATCAGTATATCTTTCTCTCTCCACACTATTATGGTCAATTTGGCAATATTGTGTCATGATTAATCCTATTGTTTAATTTTCCATTATCATGATTGAGAGTTTGGTCCCTATTAGTGTATGATTAACCATGTCAACATTCTAGCTTTGTTAGTGGGTTGTCAGTGTGTACAATTTTATAGTTTTAATATGTAATGTATGTGTGTTTTTATGTATACACATACATTAATGGAATACTACCTCTCCCTTTATTTAAAATATATGTGTAGAAGGAAAATTTACATATCCCGAGTATATACGCATCATTCTTCCTATCTCTCTCGTCATGTGAATTGTGTGTACACATCCGTTTCAACTACATTTTTCTCATATAAAAGACCAATGGGCTTCGGCTCTGGTGCTACTGGGCTTTACCTTAAATGGTATGTGTTAAACAATAATGATTGGGCCTTATGACTAGGTACGTGGTGAATGAATGGTTTTTTGCAATGTGAATATACTTGGAGAAAATTTCTCTCTCCTCTTCTAAGTTGGTGCAGCTGGAGAGTCGGTAAGACAAGTACCAGTGTTTTTAATGTGAAATCTACCAAAAATGTGGCTTTTAATTAAATAAAAGGCCCTCTGGGAGATCAAAATATCTATGTGGCTTGGCTTGTCTTCTTTGTAAAAGGACAACTACTGATTGATAATGATTAGGGGGTCAAGGGCATATGACAACGATGCTGCCTACCGTTTCTAGCTAGTACCGTTGTCTACAACAATAAGGTTCCAATCAAAACTAGCGTTAGAATTTTTTTTTTTATTTTTTTATTTTTTGAGATATTAGCGTTAGATTTATTAGAGGAGGGAGCAAGCAACTAGTGAAGATGAAAGCATACCAATGCACGCGTGGGTTAGTTCAGTGTGTGCCTGACCCTTTACGCCAAAGTTTGAGTCATCATTCTCGTATATTGGATTAAGTTAGAGTAATTTAGAGTATAGTTTGTATTCAAAAGAAAAATACCAATTAATCTTGGAAAACAAAGGTTCCAAAACCCTTAAAAGGGGGACAAAGTATGTGCGTTGTAATTTCTTTTTATAACCAAAAAATTGCATGGATTATCCGTCTGGTGTGGGTCATATATCGTTGTTACTCACGTGGTTAAAAAAAACTTACAATAATATAAGGTTTTTTTTATAATCATAAATGGTCCCTGAGGTTTGTGAAATTATCACTTTTCGTCATTCATGTTTTTTTTTTTGTTGACATTAATGGTCCTTAAGGTTACTCTTTCTACATGAAATTGGTTTCTACCGTTAGTTTCCGTCCAATTTTCTATTAAATTGCTTACGTGACACATATATAGACTCCACATATCCAATGAGATAAACGACGCATGGATTTAAATGAAATATAGTATATTTTAAATTTTTTAATACTTAAAATCCATAAATAAATAAAAACAAAATTAAGTTTTAATAAACAGATTAAAACTTAAAAAAGAAAAAGAAAAAGAAA